AGCGAAGTAAAAGTCAATACAAAATACCAGCTTTAAGTCCCACACCTTGAGCCTGGCCAAGGAGTTCCTCAGCTAAGCTCAGGTTCTCAGGTGGATTGCAGACAATTATCACAAAAACATGGATGTGATTTAATGAAGAAAACAACCCCTCTATTTGGGATTTTATTTGCATTCTTGGGATTTATCATTCGGGATTATGTAAAACTGGCAGCTGCTTATAATTATTTGGGGTTCGAGTAGAAATAATTAAAAACATCTGCCTTTATCTTAATACTACCAGACTTAAACCCATGAGCTCAGTTATACCTAACTTCAAAGCTGAAAGCAAAGAATAAAAGAAAGCTTCGCATATTGCTAACAAATTTTCAGTGATTCATTTATATGTACAACCAGTTATTCAACAGCCTTCAAACCTTTAATTATCTTTTAAATATATGTAATTTTGCACTTCTAATTAGATAGCAATTTAATGCTCTCACAGGGATTCAGATGGGCTGTCTTTTTTGAAATGTAAACTCCAATAGGAATAATCATTGGCATTCAAGTGATTGAATTCTTCAGTTATTTAAATGATCGTGAGGCATTTACACTGCTCAAATCATTTAAATATTCTGCTGTCAGCTACAGCTGTAGAGTTTTATGGAGTCAATGAATAAAGCAAGGGTAAGTGTAGGTTATCTCACGTTCCAGGCGGGACTCCCCAGAGAGAAATGAGATTTGCTGCTTCTGAAAGGCTAACACCGCTTAAGTGGGGCATTAATGTTTCCCCTGACACTCGGATTTCTCTGTTTTCCTATATTAGGAGAAACAAATTTTCTCAAAATTTACAGCTACAAAAGACTTAATACTGATCTAGAATCTTCAAACACTCCAGGTCCTTCAGCTTAATGCAACACACGGTGACAGTTCACGTTCTAAGGGTGAAATGGGAACTCGCTCAGGCACCTGAACCACCAACGAGTTTTGGTGAGAGCACTGCAATGTTACACAAAGGTTTTGATATTAGGTGTAACTTTCCCAGCCAAGACTGATCAATTTAAAGATGTGCATCCTTGTATAGAAAAGAATCAGTTGAATTCATTTACAGTGGTAAGACCATTCACAAACAGCCATTCATAAACCCCACTACAAGTCTTACAGAGTTTATTTTGAGAGTAAGAATAGATGTCTCAAAATCTTCTCAGAGGATTTGAACTCAGAAATATTACAAAATCTTTAGTAAGCAGGGATGTTATTAGATTAGTTCATCAATTAAAACACATTTTTAATCTCAGATTTATTTTTAAAATGGTAGAGTGTAAATAAAAGATGTAATTTTATTCAAGAATATATGCATTTGTCTTTAAATGCATATTTTCTTAAGAAACTCAGGCTCCTTGTTCAGGAACTCTGAGTATTCTACCCCAGTAATTAATGAAAAAAAAATGAAAACTGTTCCACTCCCTGAACAAAAATACAAATCCCATTGCTAACTATGATTCAAAAAAGCCACGGACTTCATAAAACTGGTAGCAACCTTGCTATTATTTATTGAAAACCTCACAAGCATTAGGACTGAGAGGCAGCAGCACAAACCCCTAACACCAGATAATGTTCACAATGCTGCTGATCTGTGACTGTGGCTGACACTCATCTTCCAGGGACACGCCTTAATTTCTCTGCAATCCCACTACACTTCCCTAAGAAAGCAGTTTTCCTCTGGCACCAACCTTTAACAGGCTGCAGAGTGACAGTGGCAGTAATGAGCAATCAACCATAATTAATACAGTGTTTGTTTTTAAGGGTATGTAAAAGGTATTTATCCCTTGTTTCTCATTCTTCCTTTACATTCCACAAAAAATGTAAAACTAATGTCAAACTCGTTTCTTTGGCAAACTGTAGCATCATGAACATGACATATTTTCATTTTAAAATCTAACAGTGCAACACCTGGCACACACCACAAGTGTTAAGAGGCTCCTGAAAAGCATGATCACAAATTATGATTAAATCTGCCATGATCACAAATGAGGAAGGCTGTGTCCTGATGCGCACATTTCATTGGTAAAGAGCCTCATACACCAAGTTAAGAAAAAACTGAAAATTCGCTATTAAACTCCCAAACAATTTATTACTTTTTAAATTAGCAGTAGGTCGAGGTTTTCAAGAGAATATAAAATTACAAATTACATCACGCAACTGAAAATATTCTCTCGTGGAAAATAAAATACCACTCTGCAAAAATATAAGCTTTTAGTTCAACTGAGCATATAGAGGCATTCTGATGTATTAAAGCAGTATTTTAAACATAGAAGCATTCTGATGTATTAAAGCAGTATTTTAAAAAATGGGGTTTCCGATCAGCTGTACTCTGTGGAGTTCACACTGGGAGTGCTTTTGGTAGGAAAGGAGACTTTAAAAGGGCATAGTACAGGAAAATGTGCAACGGATGCTCTTCAGCTATGCGACAAAAATAAAAAATTTTTAAAAAGAAAAAGGAGAAAAGGAATAAACGGAGAAACGGGGCACAGCTCCGGTGAGAACGAAGGGCCGGAGGCGCGGGCGGGACGGGCCCCGCGCTGGGGCAGGCCCTGGGCGGAGCTGGGGCTCCCCCTGCCGCCCGCCGCCCCGCACTGCAGCGCGGGCACAGGCCGCGCCGCGCTGTGCCCGTGTCCCCAGGGCCGTGCCTGAGGGACCCTCGCCCCCGCTGACCCGCTGTATCGGCTTGTTCGTCGCGACTCATCGCCCTGCTAATGTCTCGTGAGGAACGGAACCAAGAGGTTCTTTCTGGTCCCTCAGCGGTGCGGTGGCCGGTGGAAGCTCCCAGGCAGCGCTGGGATGCTGCTCCCAGCTCAGGATGCAGGGAGAGCCTTCATCTCCTTCCTGCGACCCAACCACAGGCACCCAACCCGCCAACCTCACCGAAAGCCAGTTTTATTCAAAAAACCAGCAGAAGAATCCAGCAGCAGCTCAGGATTCAGGGAGTGCCTTCCTCCCTGCAACCCAACCAAGAGCACCCAATCCATCAGCCTCACCGAAAGCCAAGTATATTAAAAAAATCAGCAAAAGAATCAAGAGACAAAGTCTCCCAGAAAAGCATTTTTAAATATAAACCCAATAGAATAATCAGCACAAAAATGCAGCCAGCTTAATGATTACATACACTGCTCAGCGTTAGATAAAAATCTGGTCCAGCAGGAAGCATTCTGTGCTGTTTGCTATCCTGCCTCTCTGCTCTGTGTCCCAGAAGACAATTCCTTAAAAAGCAGTACATCAGCTCCAGAACTAATAGATATGGGGTTAGGAACTCAGGAATTCAGTAATATTCTGGTTATACATCACTGCCGGAAAATATAACAACAGGATAAACCAGAGCAGATCAAGTCAGTAATCAATGAGGCTTGAATGTAAACCTAAGACAGAAATCATTTTAGAGAGTATCTTTAGTGAATTATCTAATTCCAGATCTACGGCCTATTTTCACATAATTATTGTCACAAATTCCATGGAATATTACAATGGTATCAGGATTTGGCCAGCAATATTAAAGCAAGGGCCCAGGCCAGCAATCACTTCATTCTCAAAAACTCCACTGAAGTCAGCAGAAGACTCTCATTACCCACCACTGACAGAACCCAGAGGTAAAAATTACTCTTCCAAAAACCTGAAATGCACAGACCATGAATATATCACAATGAGTTCCCCTAGCTGACAGCTTATGGGCTACTGACCAACATTTTGATTTTAAAAAGAGATTCCATTGTATAAGGTAATGAAGTAAGTGCCATGAAGATGTACATTTGGTGAGGGATAGTTACAGCACACAACCTTTTGCCTCACTAAAGCAAAACATCAGAAATTAGAAAGCAGGTAAGAGCCTCTGTCAGCCTTAGAGCTATCCGCAGTTCCTTGACCTCATTACCTCATTATCTATTATATACTGAATAAATACTAATAATTTTGAAATAAGTAATTTGCCCAAAAAGAAAGGGACACTACAGCAAAGACAAGAGTTAGCAAACTCTTGTGGTGTAGAGAGAGAACTTTCATTTAAATACATTCCTGTGCCTTGCAAACCTGGGATGTCAGATTTACCAATTAAAACATCCTTGTTGTACTTTTCCTAAGTTCTACACCAGTTAAAAACCAAACTAAGTGCAAATATAAATGTTAATTTAGTGTGTAATTCCAAGCTCATATCTTAGAAAGAAAAATTATTTTGCTTGGTGAAGACTTCAAATATGCTAATGACTCAATAAACCACGCTTGTCAATAATTTTATTTTCAAATTAAATTATCCAACCGGTTAATATTTCTGTTTTCTACTGAAATATTGTTGAAATTGGACATTGGAGATCCTGCACGAGAAACACATGTGGCAGCCATGTGGCCACAGCAGTGGGACCGTTAATGCCAGTGCTTTCCAGTGGTGATGGAACACTTGGCAGGGCTGTTCCTAAACAATGATGCAACCAGGAATGCACCAGCCCTCTGGGGTGTTAACTTGACAAACATTTGCAAAACAGTGACTTTATTTTTCTTGCTGTGATTAGTGCAAACAATGATAAGGGGAAACTAAAGGTAAAAATTGCTGCTATTTCTCTTTTAGTACAGAAAATCCCTAGTGCTCCTATTTTGCTTAAAAATATGCTTTATTGAAATTTCTGCACATATATTAAATTAACTTTAACACTTTAGCATGACAAATAGGGGTTATTACACAGCACTAGAGCATTCCAACATTCCATTTCAATGTAAAATGAACATAATTATAGCAATTTTTAGCTTTGCTATTTTGCAGTAATGGAGGTCTGCATCTTTTGCAGAAGCAAGTTGTATATTTATTTTCCTAGGGTTTTTTTTCACATTAAGTGTTATTTCCAGAGGTAAATTTACCAAGAACTATGATTTAAAGTATCTCCTCCATTGTATTTAATTTTTAATGAAGTCTAAGGAAAAAAAAATATAACAAATGCAACACATACAGCTAAATAAAACAGATCAATAAATAGCATTCTTACCAAAGGCCTGAGTTCTGGGTGAGTCAAAATATATCCATTGTTTGTAATTGCAAAAGCATATCCATGAATTCCTAACTGTAAAAGTAATGAGAAAGAAATACTGATTAGTTTGGTCTCCAGTAAACACTTAAACAAAAACCAGGCAATAATTTGGCTGCCCAGGGCACCTTATCCACACAGTGCTTTGCTACACAGTGCTTTGCTGTAACATAGGCAAAGATCTTTGACATTTTGTGCAAGTGAGAACCTGTCATGTGATGAATTCAGCACAGAGCATGATTTTACACTGTCCCACAACTCTGATGTCTAGGCCACTTGATAGAGGCAATTAATTATTATATATACATATAAAATATAGCTATATATGAGATGCCATAGCATGTGGCATTCAGAACATGGGCCAGGGCAAAGAGATACTGGGATATTATAAATTCCCCATTCCCAGGAGTGCACAGCTTTCTTCACTCGTTGTTAAAGAACCACTTCACTCAAAGATAAGGAAAGCACAGCTACAGTGGGCAACAGTGACCTGTCCTATGTGATATTTACATCTTCCCATCTTAAAGGCTCTGCTAATTCCAGTTCAGCTGGAGCCACAGAAGGCAGATATTTCTGCCAAAGAATTTCCTCTAAGTTTTCATCTTTGTGCTGAGTGGAACTGTGGGAGATTCCTTGAGAGCAATGAGATGCTTGATGAGGCCTAACAGTGCCCAAATTTAGCATTGTACTTATTTAAATAGAAATACTGGTCTATTTAATAATATGCTTATTACACAGTTGATTGCATCCACTGAATGCAACAAATGTGCATTTAAATCCTTCTTGTGGTCAATTCAAACATCCCTTTTTAGCATAAACATGCAGACAATGTAGACTTTTTCTACAGGTTCACTATGTGTCTCTTGCCATGCACAGAGTATATTCCCATCCATATTTAGGCATTTTTTAAAATTCTTCAGTATTAAAAAAAAAATAAAAAAGGAACTTGAAAGTCCAGCACTATCTTGCTTTGCTATTTACTTTACAGTTCTCACTACTAAATCTTGCTATTTAACTTGAGTGCATTCTTAAATGCTTTGCTGAAGTGGGTCTTTAGGAATTTGTCTGACACGAAGCAACTTGAGCAAGGCTGAAAAGTCAGAATCCTTTCTAAGAGGCAAAAGGGAGATCAAGTTTATTGGATTCTGTGATTTTCTGGAAATATAAACCAGACTATGATATTATGGCAAGGTCACAGGTAAAACATTCCAGGTTAATTTATAGTGTCTCTGTGTGAATGGTTGTATATGGTCAACTGTATCTGCCACACACAAGATTGTTTCATAAATTAGTGGTTTTCCTACAGCAATAAACTTCAGTGAGAGCAATAGAAGGTGATATGTTCTTGGCATCTCTTCATAAAGGAGGGATAACCAAAATAATAACAGTGGACATATTTTAACTATTATAGTGTGACAAGGGAACGAGCTGTTGGCTAAATATCAGATCTCAAGTGTAATTGTCTGTGTTGATAACTGCAGAATGACATCCAGGCAATGGAAGTCAGGTAAGGAAACAAATGTGGGTGGTATTTTTCACAGGAAAAAAGCATTTGCCTGTTTGAGGCCTACACAGGATCCTGTGTAGCATTTTATCATGTTCTGTGCAATGTGTGAAACTGCACAGCCTCTGCAGTATCTGAGTGATGCTACCATTTACAGCAGCAGTGCCATTTTAAACCTTGAATTCTGTCTCTAAATCACAGATTCAGAAACAAAGAAACCTTTTTCTAACTGTCATAAAATGTCACATGGAAGTCAAATATTACCAAATCCAGCCCCACCTTACTCAGGAGAAACTGCCACTGACATCTGGGGATGTTTAGTCAAGGTAACAGCTGCTGCAAACAGCTTGTTGCTATTGTTCATCTTCCTCAGCATAAAATCCACCTCATCCAAGCTGAAAGAATTCCAGACCAGTAGACTTCTATTTTCAACCATAATTTTATATCCCTGTGTGAATTTTCTGTCATGTGTTGCCCCTGCAGAAATGGCTCCCAGGGGCGATTATGCTCTTGCAATTGCAGAGTCTTTGTTTAGGGCATGTGGGACTGGAAGCTACAACTCAAGTGATCTCACTAACCCAACTGCATTGCATGATATTGGTGCCTCCTGAAAAAATCCTCATCCTGCAATACAAAACATACCTTCAAATAAAATCTAATATTCAACAAACTGACCATGTATTACTTCCACAGAAAACTAGTTCTTAAAAAACTCCTTTTCTGAATCAGTCTCACTCTGTTCCAATATCCATTATTTGGGCCTCCCACTCTTTCTAGATTCTCATATTCAGACTATGTCCAAATCTCACAGATTATTTAGAAGAACATCACTGTTACTTGGCTTTTCCTATCCAGCCATGCACAGCCAAGCTTTTATTTCTGCAGATACCACAACATTGTTCTTCCTTCTCACTACAAATGAAACTTGCTCTCCCCACAGCTTCTTACAGGCATCTCCAAAGATTGTGTCCATTGCTCCAAATTCAGCAAAGGAGCAAATTTTACTCCTTTCTCCTCTACCTTCCACAGATTCAGTATTTCTGCATGCAGAGAAGTGTAGCATTTTTTAACATTGCTGTTAGCAAACTTTGTTGGTGTGTGCACTGAGAGGGTGCCCTGTTATTTATTGTGAGCAGCAATGCCCTCTGTTACTGTGCTCTGATATCAGTGTGGAGTCACCTGCTGCCTCTTCTTACAGCCTGCAACTTTTTCCTGCCTGGGACAGCCTTTCTGTGCTGGGTTTGCACAGCCCCTGTCCTAGTGGGATCCAGATCACAGCAATTTACTCCAATTCACCTTATCAATATTATTCGCACTCTTTTTTATGCATCATTTTTATCAAATTCTTGTTTAACTTAAGCTTTCCAGTTACTGTATATTGATCCAGCAAATCATTTTGTAAATCCTAATGTATTCAAATTAGAATTAAAATTGATGGGAGGAATTTTTATGTGAGAATATTGGAAGGCACTCACAAGTCAGTTTCTTCCTCCACCCTGCTAGAAATCACTAAATGAGAACATGGCAATCAATTAAGAGACAATTTGTATGATATACAAATTTATGCTCAGTACAGGTGCTGTCAAAATGCAGCTATTCCAGGGGCTGGCCTCTTTACCAAAGGCTCTCTGCAATACTGTGTTACATGCTTGTTAGTTATGCAAAAAAAATCCACTAGGAATTAACAGGAAAATATTAATTTAATTTTCATTTGTGAATAGCAGGGTACTATAGTAAAACATTTCAGACATGGAGAAATAGTGAAATACTAATGTACTGCATCAAATTTAAAAGAAAAGTAATTACATTTTGTGTTTGCCTGAAGCCTACTTTTACTGAATGCAACATTTCACAAGAGATATAGTGGTTCAAGTTTTGAAAATTTTTATGATAATTCATTTTAAGACTTTTACTGTAGAGTTGTCACTGACTTTGGAAAACTATGTGGAGGAAAATACTTAGCAGATACTGGGTAGGAGAGAAGGAGGCACTAGTCTGGTTAAGCAGGAACTTGTTTAAGTTCTTGCAATGTGCCACTTTGTGTAATTCCAGGAGACACAGAATAGGGACGGGAAGAATTACACACAAACAGGAAGCCTAAAGTGACATCAAGGATAGGTTTGCCTTAAGAGTTATGCAGTTTTTCAGCATTATTCTTTTGGTTATTTTGAGTTGTATTCTGGCTATATTTCATAGTTTGATAACTTTGTTGATTTTACAATTACATTGATTTTAATATGGACAATATTTAATATTACCCTCTAGACCACAAAATGTGGTCAGTATTTCGTATTATGCTCTGATCCACAAAAATGTGAAAATCAGGCCATATTTTAACTTAGGTTTTAAAAAGGGCACTTGATCTCAGATACTACAGAGGTAAAATTCCTGAAATGAATGGGTGAAATAATGGAGTGATGTAAGTATAAACAATAATTATATATTAAATGAATTATGTTATATTTGAGGGGTTATACTGAATATAAATGATATATACACCATTTTGTGCATTACCTTGTATTTTGGAATAGTTTTTAAAAGCTCTTTAACTGGAACATCTGTGCCAACTACTCCCAGGAGAATCCCTTTAGACCTCTGAAAAGAACAATAAAAGATGCACTCAGACCCACAGTAATAATAAACATTCTCACCACTTATTTTACCTTGCAGCTACACTGTGATATTGAATAGATAACAGACAAATTATTTAAAAAGTGGGGAAGACAGGCACTGGTACAATTCAGCTGATCAAGCAGTAATTAAATCAATAATGTTGCTCCTTTCTGTTTTATTTACCATTCACATAGAAAAGGCATGCAAAGTTTTGATAGTTCTGAGTCCCTCCATTGAAATCTTTCACATGCAAATAGGTTTAAAATTAAAAAATACAGTTAAAGATATGTTACTTCTGTCTTTCCCAATATCTCCTACCATTTGATAAACAAAAGAGAAATATGAAGCATTAAGGGAAAAGTACACTTAAGTTTCTTTAACAATCTGTTGAATTACTGAAGTTAAATAGATACATATATAATAGCCATAAAACTAAATAAATTTTGAGTTATATCAGAGCAAAGAGGAAAATTATGTATAATGTTTACTACAAAAAAAGCAATACAGCAGTAAGAAAGCTGTAAGGCCTAGTGTCATCTGAGATTTTCCCTCCGACATAGGATTTCATCATTTTACCATGGTTTCTAGAGTATGGGTATTTGGGATTATTTGTCCACATTTTTGTGCTAATAAAGGTATTCTAACTGCAGACAAAATAATAATAATAAAAAAATTAAAACATTTAAGAGTTGGCTAAAATCTTATTAGATCCCTGAAAGCAGCTTCACATCAGTCACACCATTACCACATGACGTAAATAATCTGAGTACTTACAGTCTCATTTTGCTTACTAAATACTGGCATGGCAACCGTTGTCATCAACACCAATCCCTGATCATCAGCAAGCTATATTTGAAAAAGAAATACTATCTCTGAGAACTAAGGGACAATTACAAGCATGTGGTTGCATTTTTCATTTACGTTACTTCCATTTTAAATGAGATAAGGCAGTTTACCCAAATGACAGTGATGTAGTTGGACCTGCAGTCAGTGCAGCCCAGCCCAGCCCAGCCCGCTCTGAACTGACCCAGCTCTGCCCATCCCAGCCCCTCCAGTGCAGGAAAAAAGCCTCCTCCTCTCTCCCTCTGCAGGCTGCCATGGGAGAGAGAAGGGGCTGGGATGGCTGTGGAAGCAGCAGGAGCAGCAGCAAAGCAGCTGGAGCTCTGCTCCACATCCCTCCCACTGCCAGCTCTGCCTAAGCTGCCTCAGGCTGTTTTCTCCCAGCCAAGGGCAAGTGGCCATGAGCTGTGTGGGTTTTGTTCTGGTGCAGACCAAGATCTCAGCTCACACAGCAGCACAAAGGATGACAGCCAGTCAGGATCCCAGGAGTGCCTTTGCTCCAGCTGCCTTCAGAGGTGCCATGAAGCACTAGTTGATTCTTCACATCAGGTTTCAATGCATTTTTTCAGTTTACGGACCAAATAGAATTTCCCGACCTTGATTCCATTCAAGAGAAACATGCAGGGTGTTTATCGCTGTCCACAGGACAGTGAGAGTGTTCAGATCTCCTCCCTGTTCAGATCTCCTCCCTGTTCAGATGAACCTCTGTCCAGAAGCAGAGCCTGGCTGGGGAGCTCCAGACCAGCACTGCTCTGTGCTGTCCATCTTCACCAGCAATGTGTGAAAGACAACTTAAGTAGGAGGTAGAGAGTTCTTGTTCAACCCTTTCTGTCCCCAAGGACAGATATTAAAGCTAAAGAGGTTTATCCAAGATTTGAAAATGTGACAGACACAGTTATAACCTCAAGTGGAGATTTTGTAGAACACAAATTCTACTTTGCTGCACCTGTGTTCAGCCAGTTGGGTGCAGCAACAGGGACAATCATGCTGAGCAATACTGTAGGTGACAGTCATGCCCAATGGTGACTGTCTTCTTCTACCACTCTTACATCTCTATCATCCTTTCTGCACTCAAGTAGAACTTCTCATAATGTTTTTCTTTTTACAGCTTTTGAAATTTATATTTTTGCTTTGTTTGTGTTTACAAAGGTTTTCTTATAATGAAGCAATAGCAATTGGCTCCCCATATTCTCAGAAAACAATTCCTACATTATGATAAAAATTCCTTTTGAAGCATATTCCACATTAACAAATCAGACAAACAAAATCTAGAAAATTATGTGTCCTGCATCTCCCAGTCTTCTTCAGAAGGATTTTAAGTTTCTTAAACAAGTATATTTCCTGAGGCATGGCACTATCTCATGGTGAGAGAGAATGTTTGCAGACATTAGACAGGAACACAAATGGGGTTTAGAGTCAAGAAGGTTTACATCTGATAAGGAATCACCAGGGATATGAGGTGGAACGAACTTATGATCATATTTCCTTCTTGTTTTGTTTCCTTGTTAGCAAGAAGAGATAATTCTAACCCCAATATAATCTTTGCTCTATCAAGGAATAGTAAGTTATTAAACAAACAAGAAAAAAAACCAAAAACTTGGCAAAACATTGTGGGTTCAAAGGCTGCACTTGAAACTCAAATTCAGTCAAACCAATGTAGGAATTTCCACTCCTTGGCCAGAGTAGTAGAGTCAAGGACACTGACATGATTTGTGGGGAGAGGAGCCCAGGAAGTGCAAAAGCATTCTGCTGATTACAAGGTGACATTTTGGAGCACTTCAAGATTTTCTGTGATTGCCCTGGGTAGTTTTCTCTGACATCATGTTTTGGTCAAGTACCAGGACAGTATTCATTTATGAGTCTGCTCACTTTCAATATCTTACTAAAAACAATTCAATGGATAGGATAAAGCCAAGGGACTTTCAGCAGAGTTTTAGAGCATCTGAAAATCTTCACATGGAGAAAAAAAACCCCACAGTCTGGAGTTCCTGGGAATTTATGAAAGAACTGCTCATTAACTCTCAAAACTGACTATGGAAGCAGGCAAGAGTGATTGCCTGGTAATTTTGTTATCTACAAGTACCAACTAGAGCTGGCTGCTGCAATCATTTCTATAGAATTGCAACTGTATAATCCAGCCTATTTGACTTTTATTTGTTTGGCAGATGAACAGATTGCTGACCACTTCCATAAGTGGAGTCAGCAAATAACTGGATGAGCAGGGACTTGTATTTACAATGTTTTACTGAGTCACTTCTCATCATAATGGAGTTACTACCTAGTCTAAAATGATGAATGTAGGAGACAGCATCAGTGATTTGCCACAGAATTTTCTTCTACTGGAAAGACCTGGTGGTAACCATTTTAGGTGGGCAGCTACCCAAGGGCTATGGGCACCCAGTTTCACAAAATGCTTAGCAAAAAACCTACAAATCTTTGAAAGAAAATAAATCTCAAGACAGAGGAAAAAATGCCTTCCCAGGCTAATTATCTCGTGGCTATTCAGAATAAAGAAACAGAACTTGCTCTCTGAAAAAGGTACAGATCTCTAATGTTTAGTGGTAGCAATTTTGTAACTGGAGAAAAAATTCCCTTTAGAAATAGATTTAACTACAACATTTTTCCCTTTAATTCCTTGCTGTACACAAGTTACCCTCCCCAGAACAACCCTAATCAGATCTTCCCAAAAAACAAATAAAAATCATCCTCTTAGAGTTAAGCCACTTATGAGTTTAGCCTCACACCCAGCACTAACATCCACTTCAGGGCAAAGAATAAGGCAGGCTCCAGAATTAAAGCAGACACACATATACAGGAAAGAATATAAAGACTTTCTGAGGTGTTCCCATTACAGAAAGAGGAATTTGAGAAACATGTCTGAAATGTCTTCCTTGGGAGTCTATAGGCAACAAGAGTTAAAGTGGGTTGTTTAGAATTTCTGACACATCTTCCCAACCCACCCTGCCCTTCTTCCTTTGCCTGCTCTGTATAGATTTGCTTCACAGTGCGCTGTCTTCTGTGATGAATGCACTTTTCTGTGATCTCTTCTGTGTTTGTGTCCCTCTCCTGTGAACTGCACTTTTATGTGCTGATCAGAGTCATGAGGCAGGCTGGGAGCTTCAGAGAACTGGAATTTGATTTTATATGGACTAAAAGAATAAGGAATAGCTATTATTTTGGCATAGACTCAACTTATGGTCTGGGACAATATGGGAACCTGTGTCAGTGTCTTGGTTAAAGTGATGTTCCTGTGTGTGACACACAGAGTAAATGAAAAAAACCCTTATGTTGTAAAATAGATGGAGTTGGTAAATTGCTGATTCAAAAATGTTACTGAAAGTAAGTTTGCTTGTTGAGGAATGTGAGAGAGAAATTTGGAATTGCAATTAAAAAAAGATTGCAATTAACATCTAAGTGAAATTTTTTACATAGTTTTTGGAATAGAAACCAAATATACATTACAAAACAAAGACAATAACATCTCATGAGAAGGAAACAGATCCAAGGGAATGCTAAGTCAAACTGTTTACTTTATGATTATTTTGTATTCCATTAGATTCTGCTTAAATGTTATAATTTTACAAAAGTGCTAAAATCACTAGTCATGCACTTCAAGGAAACTACAGCTTTCCAAATTTTCTATTTTCTATTCCCAGTGAGAGTTAATTCAGCTCTTCAAAGTATAAGGTAAAGGATGCAGGGGATGATAAATGATCCTCCCAAAAGGCTGAAATTTGATAGCATCAAGATATGAGGAGGGCACAGCACTACTTACACAAGTTAAGGATTATACAGAAAGAGAGAAGAAAGCTGCCAGGAACTTTGGGCAATAAATATCTTTAAAACACTTCTGTATGTTGAAAATATGGCTCCATTCATGAGAGAATCATTAAAAAAATTCTTAAGTGTTCGTAAACACAACTCTCTGCTTCTGATTTGTGTGCCTAATTTATTCACTTCTACCTTTTCACTCAAGCTAAGTAGAACAAAACATCACAGCAGGAGTAGGGCAAAAGCTTTTGAATCCTGCTGTGTTTGCTCAGGAAAGCAAGTAAAGCTTCCTACTAGGAAACAAAACACCTTTTTGAACTATTAAGGAAAAATGGCTTTTGCTCTTCAGTGCATACAAAAAGCTGTTTAACATAACTGTTTCAAAGATAAAGGTCATTTTGGAAATCAAAATGAACAAATTTGGAAAGTAGTAAATTTAAGTTATTATTTTATCTTACTGCTATTTTCACAGCCCTGTGGGATAGCTACCTAAAAACATGCATAAAAGAAACATAGAGGACAAGTAAAATTCATATGAATTTGTTTCATTTGTCTGGTAGCAGTCCTTCCTTTTAGATACATTAACTCTTCCTACACATATTTTGTTCTGAAAGTAACATAACCATACTAAATCAAGGTCTCTATTGCCTGAAACTCTGGTGAATTCTGGTTGGTGTTTTTTGGCTGGTTGGGTGGGTGGTTGGTTTGATTTGGCTTTGTGGTATTTTCTGTTTTAAGTATAGTATATCTCATAAAGATATTTTCAAGACAAATATCAGGGTGCAACAGGCATATCCACCTTAAACTAATCATTATTCATTTCACCTGTTCTCCAATTCTGAATTTGCACCAGTTTGACCAAGAGCAGATAGCATAAGAATAACAGGTTTAATTGTTATTTAACTGCTGTGGACAGTTGAAAACCTAAAGGTCTTAAAAATCAATAGCTAATGACCGTAGAACACTGACTAAACACTGAAAATCTGAAGCCAAAGTGTCCCACATATAAGAGAAAACACATTTCATCAAGATGGTGAACTATTTATAATAGATATGAAATAGCAAAGGTAAACTTGAAATGCCACATTTTTCTTTCAGATCACCCAAAGATTAAAGTGAACATGTTTAGAGAGACATGACTGTTTGAAATGTTTATAGAGAAAACATTTGCAAGATGATACATAGATTCCAACAAAAATACAGTACAAGTTCAGACACCATATGGCAAAACAGTGACTAAGTCATTCATAAAGGCATGCACCAGCTCTGTGCTGCTTCCCTTCACCTTGCAGAGAGCCAGAGAGATTCTCTTGGTTTGTTCATAAACTTCCAGGCCACACTTATTAAAAGGCATATTTCTTGCCTGAAGTTATCAAAAGCCCTCGAGGATTACTTGTACCTGCCCCCCTCCCCATCCCTTTCCTTCCTTCCCACCCCTCTCTTCCTTGAACAAAATACACAGTCAATTAGACTATAGTCAGCTATAAGTGCATATAAAAATATCTGGTTTTAGTTCTGCAAATGTTTGATTGACAGGTAAAAACATTAAAAATTGGAAATTTTGGCCATTTATGAAAATCATATTTTCTAACAGCAAACTTGAGTAATTTGTACCAGAATATTGTTTAATAGCTCAGAATTGTGGCCATCAGAACAGGTAATACAGCACCACATGGCACAAGCTGACAAACAGCCTGGCTGGTTGTAATTTCTACACCAGCACATCACAGTCTGACTCTCTCTTCTTTCTGCAAACTGTTAAAGAGAAGCATTTGGCACAAATGTTTAGACAAGCAGGTGAAAATGAAAAAGCCAAAGTTAGCTAGTCTAGCCACTCGTTTTGTCCTTCTACTCTTCCAGAATGCTGTACACAAAATATTTCTTTAAACTTTTTTTTTTCAAGAAGGAAAAAAAGGCCAAAACCAACATCTTTTGGTACTATGTTCTGCAACTATCGAAGCATGAACAAGCTACACATATAGTGCAATGTCATAAAATACCATATTACCTTCAGGTTTGAAATAGAATTTTCTGAGCTCCATGAGAAGGGAAATTTCAAATACATGTAGTATCATAAAAATAAAGCCTCCCATCCTCATATTTCTTGCTTTTTAAACAAAAAAGTGGCTGAGATACATTAGTGAAGTTCTAAGTTCTGTGGGTGCCCTCACCATTCTTCAAAAGCTATTAAGTGAAAGATCACTTCACTTATAGCTTTCATTAAAAACTAAACTTTCATTGTCATCCATGAATGTTACTAACAGTGATGTCAAACTGACTAATTGCTGTGACATTTCTTATTGAAGGTGCTTTACCAAGAGCAATAAGAATGACTTGGACAAGTGAGTGTTGCAATTGCCCAGCATATTCTATTCCTTTTTATAATTTTAATACTTTTCTACCAGAAACACAAAACAACAGCTAGATTTTCTAGTTTCTGGAAGTCTTGATTATATTTGTGAAATACAAAAGGATGATGCAACAGGCATCAAGCAACTCTTAGCTCTGCCACACTGGCTGTGCTGTCCTGGCTCTGGTGACACCATATCGATGCAGAAGTGGTTTAAACGCAATAGCACATTGTATGGAAATTATGCAACCTGTTAGAGAAGTCAAATGCTGAATGTGTTCAGGGGTGTGTTGGTAGATACAGGGGGGAGCAGTGAAAGGGTACCAGCTATGCCATGGGCTCTGCAGTCACTACAGCAGACCTAGAAATGTTTCACATGGAGTAATGGAGTGGGTTGGGTTTTTTTTTTTTAATCCCTACTATTATTTCAAATTGTTGATCAAATAGCCTCCCTGTTGTTTGCAAGTTGAAGGCGATGGATGCCTGGCATGTTAAACAGCTGATAAGTTTGAAGAGCTGCTCTCAGCAGGTACCTCAGCTGGGCTCAAAGCCAGGCACCCTCCTGGGGCCAGCTCAGAGCCCCGTGACCGTGAAGAGTTTCACTGATCACCACCTGTACCGCACCCACACCACCATGGAAACGTGAAGCACTGGTGACTACTTGGAATGACTAGGATTTGATTAAAATATTTTACCTTTTGTGCCTGAGGGAGCTGGAAAACAACAAAACAGAACAAGCAATTATACATTAAATTAGTCTGAACAGCCACTTTAGCCGCTGTATTAACAAAAGCATAAACATAATATAAAACAAAGTGTAAAGGAAAGAAACTAGAGAAACTAGGTTTACATTGCCAATTCATTCAACTTATTGAGGGCTTATTAACTGACTTTATGATTTGGCAGCTTCTCTACAAGGTATGACAAAAGCACCGTGACATTTGTTGAATACTACCACACCAAGACAGGGATTGTTTTCTCATCAGATATGGTATCACACCTGAACTGTGAAGTAGTTCCATCTTCTTGTACACAAATATAATTCAACATATAGACAGTTTTAGTTTTAAATGAAACTGACATTAAGAGGAGATTATCATATTAAAGTAGAACGTTGTATCCTCCACGACAGAGGAAAGAAAAATAAAATGGGAATAGAAAGTTAGTAACTGCTTATGCAAACAGATTACAATACATGCATAATATACAATAATATATGCATAGAACAATACATTTCTGTGCTGTAAACACAAGTATGATTACATGTGCATATATGCAAATCAAATGCAAGTGTTTATGCATATATGCATATTTGTACCACACAGATGTTATCAGACAGGTGTAGCCATACCTGGTTGTGTGCACAGTATTTACTGTGAGCAACAACTCACGTATAAAGGCATTGAGAGCAGGCAGCAGACTCCATCACATATAAAAGACCTTATTTATCAAGTGTTGAAAGATGGGTTCTGTTTTCACTTCAGAAAAAAGAAAACCCATTGTAGCAAGGGAGGTCAGAAAACCAAACTGTTACAGGCACAATACAGTTTTCCCTTTTTCTGAATTCTTCTCCTCTTACTCCATACTTGTGGACAAATTCACTCACATAGCATTTTAACCTTGTGCTAAGTGTACCTCCACAGAAAATGTGTTTGTCCAACTCAAATTTTGTCTTTAAAGGCATCATCTGAACATGGAAATAAGCAGGTGAATCGATGCCAAATGCAAAAAGACCTTCAGGATCTCTAGTGAGCTTCTGACTGACCTTTTGCCCTTCCTCTGAACAAAAACAAATAGAGAAAAAGCACCAAATTTGAACACAGTCCTCTGTTAAAAGCTATTATCCACATGGTATATGTCATGAAAGACAACTGTCACATGATGTCTAATTCACAAATACTGGAGCAAGCAGCAACAATTCTCAGTTTTCACAACATAAAATGTAACAAAATCCATGGCAGGAAGAATTGCTACAAGTAAAATTCTTTCATCCTAAAACTGCAGTGATCCAATATCAAATTACAAACCATGATCACATTAAAGTATGACTTGTATGTGTTTTTAAAAAAGCCTTTTTAAAAAATAAATTACTATATTGAACACTATAAAAGGGTTGCTGCAGATATCTGAATTGTAAATGCATGACCTAAATCCTGTATAACAGGTTAGAGCAGTTTAAGGCTTTTCTGAAAGTTTGACTAGTTGTTAGTTTTTGACTTGTTAATTACTTTGACAAGTGGAAACTTTTTCATTTCACATTCAAACAAGGGGAGAAAGTTGCAATATGATTTTTTTTTTTAATTTGTCAGATACAGTCAGGTACATACAGTTTGGTCAAGTTTTGCCAAGTGAGGCAGTTACAGTCAGATGGATTGAAGTGAGGATTTCATATTAAGAACTACCACACAACTAGATGCTTCACACTTCTGAATACAAAGTGACCTCTATTGCTTTTACTTAGATTATTTTAATGAGCACATTAATAAGCATTTACAAACTAGAGTTCTTTATTATCTGCTGCTGGATTCAGTTAGTCAATCCATTTATAAGCTTTTATAAAATCAAGAACATTCCCATTCTCTGAAATATTAGTAGTCATAATGATTAAGAATAATAAAGTCAGCAGATCATGCTTTTTCCAGGGCTGGAATTCTTGACACATTTCAGCTAAGCTGAAAAATCCAGGTTCAAGATCTTTCCTCAATAAAAAACCGAACAAACAATTGAAAAAAAATTATTTGTTCCCATCAGATACATATTCATCCTATTGCTGATTTGAGACTTGGCTGTTACAAGGTCCTATATGTCAGCAATTCAGTTTATTCAGTTTTTCAATATTTTCTATGAATTCCTTTGAAATAAACTGTGGAGTTTTCTCTGACATTACCCTTCTGGGAGGCCATAGGAAACAAATAATTTTCCTAACAATAATAGTATAGTCCTCTGGTCTGACCCTTTATTGAACAGTGTAAGAGCAGCCTGTCTGTGTGTAAAAGCCAGCAGGTGCCTCTAATTGTGTGCTTTGCTTCATTCCCTGCCAGGAGGCAGCTTTGCAGCAAACTGTGTGATCTTTCCCTGGCCCTCCAGCACTGCAGGTATTTCTATTCTACCACACCCTGCTAAACTGTGCCCTTCTGATGGTTTTATTCAGCTCCAGCCACACCAAAGTACCTCCTGCTCCTATTTGTTTTCCATTAGTGTCTCCCCTCCCTCAGGTGCTTGTCCTAAACAATACAGATTACTTAGATCTGGTTTACTGCTCCTAGTCTGCCATCTGGGTAACTTTTGCTGAAGTTATTGTGGCTGGAGTGCAGGGAGGACACCTGGCCATTTGGTGGCTCCTGGTTCATCCAGGTGTGGCTCAGGAGGAGCTGTCTGAAGGAAATTGGACCTTGCTTAGGAAGAGACCTTTGCTGTACTGCCAGGTACAGCAGAGACAAGAGCCTGCAAACCTGTAAACTCCAGGGGAAACCTAAGAGAATTTTCTGATTTAAAGATTTAAAAAAGCAGATGGAAGCACCTTGACTGAACAATGCAGATTTTGCTGCAACCTAAAAAAAAAAAAATTATATTAAAGAGCAAGACAGAAGCATGGAGCATTGCAAGAACACAAGTAAAAAAGTAGATTTGTTTTCAAATTCCTTTTAACCAGAAAAAAAAAATTTCTTTACTAAACACATTTTCTTTTTCTATTTTGTATTGTAAAAAAATTACTCTCAGAAACTGGAGGCCCCCCTGAGGTTCACAATTTGCTTTATGCCAGTAAGACATGTTGAGAATTCCCTGTCTAAATTCAGGTCAACTTGGGGTCCCGTCACACAATGTAGAACAGAATAAATAACTGCAGGAGGTTTTTCAGTACTGCTGTTGCACACACTGTCATGCTTTCCACATTTGCAAATAATCTAGTATTGTTTTGAGCTCTTCATGGAAATGTGTTTGATATTACCAGGAAAAGAAAAATTAGACACTAATAATGTGGTAAAAAACCCCAAGACAGGCAAAGGGATCCACCATCAGAGACTTTGCACTATTTTTTGGATCAGATAATTGTGAGACCAATATGACTGAACCAAACAAAACCCCAGAGATCTGAAATACTGTCTTTAGAGCAGGAGGAATAAGTTACAGGAGAGTAGTTCTGAAAAGTATTTCATAAAAGGGTATGTCTTTTCACCCTTATCAAAAGAAGTTCATAAAGACTGATTTTGTAAATGATTTCATGATAATTGAAAAGAAAAAGGTTACAATATTTTAGACCTGTTTTAATAATTTATTCAAAACATTATATCTGCATGTCCTAGATTTCCAAGAAACCAAGTCTAGAAATTATAAAGAAAAACACAGTAGAATTATAGATTTATTGTTCAGTTGGATCAGATTTCAACCTTATGTTTGTTTGAAGAATAGCAAAACAATCTGCAAGAGTAAATTATAGTCAGTAGTTTCTTACTATATCAAAACCCACAGCTTCTATTACAAATGAAACAAAAATAATATATATCATTATGATATTAATGTTCCATGTCTATTTTTAATGATTTCATGGAATTATTCGTATAAAAAGTATACTATTGTAATTTATTAATGTTAAAACTTTGAAAAATAAATAAAAACTCTTATTTTACGTTCACTGACCTTATTTCCACAGTTGCCCTGCCAAGTTTTTAAAAGTCACCAGTCACATAAAAACAGCCCCACTGACTTGATTGCTCCAAAATCAGATACAATACAAATCAATAGAAAGTAATTGCAAACATGTCAGTAAATAATCAGCAAGTCTGGATATGGTTTTGATAAAACAGACATTTCTATAAATACCTTCTGAGCTGCACTAAATTTAACCTTAATGCATTGCTAAATGTATGGTGTTTCTAATGTTCATTTTCATCCCATCCCTGTCACATACTGAGTTGTTATTTGACATGAGATGTATGCCTTAGAACTTATTATTTTCAAAAATACTTTTTCAGGAAAGATATGAAGTGCTGTGGCAAACATGGAGAAAATGCAAAGCAGTTCATATGTAGCAGGTTTCCTCATTTTTTCCCATAAATAGCAAAAACTTGGGGAAAACCAGAAAGAATATTCCAATTCTCAGTTTTGAGCATAAAATGTAAACTTTCTGCTTTAAAATCTACTTATTCAATTGCTATTAGATACAATATTTAAGTATTATGATTTCGATAATTTTTCTTTTGTAATCTATGCACTTATTCCCTCCATCTAAGTACTACAGGCATCATACAAAATTATATGCACACACAGAGGAAGAAATAAAATTCAGCCTCCTACTGGGATGCTCCTGACATTAAGATTTCAGTGTAGATATTAGAAGAGTGACATTAACCTGCAGCTTACTAGGCCAGCATCTCTAAGGAAATGCACTTGATTTTTCAAGGGATTTAGCACCAAATCCTTCACTGTTCACGTAATTGTTTTACTGTGGTACCACATATTTTTCAGTAACTACAGCATTTTAGTCAAGGATAGATTGTGCTCTGCATGCAAAGTACACTCATCAGAGAAAATTTAAATGTTGCTATGGAGAAGAGAGTCATAAAACAAAGATAAAACCTACAATTCTACTTCTCCCTTTAAAAAGAGTTCCTATAGATGACAGAAAGGAAAGAATTTAGCTTCTGTGAAATATGAAAAAGAGAACACCCAGGAGCTGTAAAGGCATTGGATTGGAATTAAGAAATGGCAAAAT